TTCCTGCTTCCATCAGCCTTCTAGCCTAATTGTCATTCTTTATTGCAATTTGTGCAAATTTCTTTGGCCAGATTGGCAGTTTTCACAGTAGTGATAATTTCTTTCAGGTAAACTGGAGCTGTCTAAGCTAGGAAACACCAGCGCATTTATTCCTATTCGTTGCGGATTATGGCATTCTTACAGAAAAAGGTAATTGTCAGATTTGTGTAACAATTAACAGAAAATTTAACGAGGGCATGATCAATGAAACAGTGTTCCAGAATAAGTCATCGGTCTTTCATGCTGCCCACCAATCGCACATTGCGAGATAGGTATGTTCGGCATCTTCGACGCGGAAGACAACCCGGTTCTCAAGGGTAAACGTGGGTGTTCACATTGCAACGCGTACGTCCTCTGCGCCTTAGACGTGAACACAGGGTTGCATCGCATTTATCTACCGTAAGCATCCGCAAAATGTTTCATTACTTTCCTGCAGGCGAACAACATATTACGCGATCCGATATCGAGCATACGAAAACAAACCACATTCAGATTATGGTAACTGCTTTCTTAAAACTTGCCAAGCATAATCAGGCGACGCCCAAAAAATGATGACTACCCAAGAGGCTATTAAGGGTTGCATGATATCAATGACTGCAGCAATTGGCGGTCAACAACCACAGCAGCGAATTCAACTGCTTCTACCATACGTATCCGTGAAGCAGCTACGCTCTTTAGCTACCGATACAGGGCGTCGTGCAGAAGCAGCACTAGTACTTCCCATTTACTTGCAGAACACTTATCTCGAGGAAGCGCATGGGAAACTGTGCGAAACAGCTCGTCGAACGACGCAGCGTTTGTCAACGCGTCTGTTGATGGTCAAGATCAGCCACTCCGTTGCACTACAAAAGTCTGGTTTTCGAAATGCACCGCAAGTTACGGTAAGCAACCATCGTTTTTCATCTGTTGTACATTATTAAGATGATTCTCCACACGGTGATCAGCCAATGAGCACAGCAAATCATGGCGGGACTTCTCACGATCTGGCGGAAGCAACTAGCATGAGGAATTGATTAGTTGATTCCTTAACACGATACTTGTTTTAGGTGTTCTAGCTTGTGGATTTGGACATGCATAGCAGAAGTTCACAACATGGACATTTTGTTGCCAATAGAACGTCACTAAGTGCCTTTCGTCTTCTTTTGTTTGCGCAAACACAGGGTGAACTGCGAGGAAACTATCTGCGCGTCGTAGCACATCTTGTGCCCTGCATTTACAAAACAGCTTGTTTTCCCATTTTCATTTTTGTAACTGCGCACGCTAAACGTCAAGAGAGCATGTTTTGGTGGCTTGCGTAAGCATTTACAAGGAATTGTTGATAAGACGGGGAAATAGGGATTTGGCAGCATTCTCGCTGGGTGTGCGGACGTAGGTGGGTAGCAGGCAGGTGCGGACGAAGGTGGCTGGCAGCTAGGTGCGTGGCGTTCGGTTGCGTGTACAGCCAAGGTCAAAACTCGGTGCCCATTCATACTCCGCTGGTGTGTCTGTCGTCAATGGTTTAACCTTGCTATCTGATTGCACATGTGGAAACGTCTTCTATTTTATACTTAATTAAGCTGCAGTGGAAGGACAAATTTCGCCTTCAAAAGGGGTCACCAGTCATTTACCATGGCTTCAGGTCCGTAGTAACCCGCGGAGGACTTTGCCATTCACATTCGCCTTCAAAATCTTTTTTGTGCTAGCAAGGAGCTCTTCTGTCATTTTCCCTGGACTGCTTTAGAAATACATCTTACTGATACGATCTACAACGCAAATTTCTGCATACAACGGCTTTCCTAGCGATTCTTTAGTTGATTTGACCATTTCTGGCCATCTTGATGCCTGAAATAAGATTTTTTCTGAGGCACTAGTTGATCGATTTCATCCACTCCACAGCCAGCTTATAAAAATGCTCCTTACTACTACGCGTTAAATTTCAATTTTATTCTGCCGCGCGTCATCCTATCGTAACAGTCTCCTGCCTTTTCTATCACGTTTGCTTGTTAATCTGCGCAAGCCGTGATTGAAGTGACAGTTATGCAGATTGTGTTGTTGTTTTCCCCCAAGTAGATACCTAGTTATTATCAGCCAGTTTGTTCGCAATGGTGGTGTAAATGCTGGAAATGAACCCATTAGGGTTCATAAAGGTTTTGTCTTAACCTGATTTGACTTATGTGCAAAGATGATCTGGCTATGGATTCCTTTCGTTACTCTTCAAAGTCATGGTACACTACATCTCGCTCGGCCCACGGAATATCCGAGATGGTGCCGATGAACACTACGTATTCCGGGGAAAAGCTGTCGGTAGCAATTCTGCGCCTGATCCATCGGTCAGAGAAATCTCGGTTCATTATGATGCTTTGAGTTTGGTTGACAAGTGATCCGCATCAAATTGAAGAGCTTAGCAGCAACACCTAGAATGTCACATAGGTGGTTCCACTGGTTCACGTCATCGAGTTGGGTTACTATTAAGGATTATGACATCGATTCTGAAACGCTGGTGCAGACCATTCGTGGCATACTATGTGGTTTCTTAGTGACCATTTATGCAGCCTGGGCTGAGGTCAACCACCCCGGTAGTCCGAATAAAATCGGTGCAGGCTGTGTAAGCAAAGTTTTGCCTTCTTCACGCACTTTGTGTCCAGTGACACCAACTGAAGGCCAAAGTTCTCGGGTACATTTAGCAGTAACCACGTTCTAACCAACACTCGACGCTCTCTTGAGATTTCAGAACGGTTTGGAGTGTGGAAGAGGACCTAGTAGTACTCTTTCCAGTAGAATTGATGGTGGTTGGTTAATGCGTATTTAGACCCCTGGGGATATTAACACTTAGAGTGATGGCCAAAGCGACAGGTGACGTACTTTTAAGGCGATGCCCAGCCACGTTTCTGAAGTTCAACCGGAGCCTATTTGGGATGAATAAAGCCTACGCTCGTTCATGCTTTCTTCCGGTGCCCCTTGTTTGTTCAACAGATGTCATCAATCTCTTTTGTTTATGAGTTGATTAATGTGGAATCCTTACCAGTGGGGTAATCATACGTACTGCTTAGAAACCAAGAGAATCTGGTCTGCCATTGTGCAGCTTCAACTGACTTACTGTGTGCTTAACATACGATGAAACTAGCCGAGGAAACAGAAACACTGGATTCCTGATCGAACGTTGGTCTGGCATAATGGAAAGCAACAAAATACTTCATTCCAGTAGCTTTAGGGTCGGCTTCTTCTGATCGGGCGTTACAACCCACCGCTTGGTGTGTCCATCGTACAAGATCAATGCTCGTGGCTACCTGTCTATACGCTACGTGCTGAATTAACTGTTTCAAATGTCCACAAGTCCGTAGCACTTTGCGATGCATCACGGGGCATGTGAAGTGGGTTAAAGTGCCTAAGTAGTTGGCTAATTAAGCGCTATGAGGTATAAACGACGTGCTTGAGCAATTAGGGACATAAAATGACCGATAGCTTCTTCACTTCATGACCGACATCTGTGGTTGATAGCTCGGATTTAAATTTCCCTAGAAACCATAAACGCTACTGCGTGGTCCAAAGTACGAAAAATTGCGCGTATTTTTCTGCGGATAGTGCAATAACTTTGACGTGCAAGTACAGGGTGATTCGAAAGATGTAGTACACTAAATAACGATGACTTAGCTGGATCGAATGAGAGTAGGCACAAGTGCGTGAGATGAGAATAGTCAGTAACATCGGTCGAGTACCAGGGCAGAGAGAATGCGACCGCAAAGAGTGTGGAAATACGAATAGAAAGGACATTTGAAGAAAGCAGGTCAGCCAATAGTTTGCTTAAGAGGTTTGGACATATAAGGCCGCCGGAGCAATCTGCACAGACTTGCGCATGTAAACCATGGATTCCTCAGTACCATATCTGGTTTTCGTTGGATGATCATTGTGTCTTTCCTTGACATTAATGGATTTGATGGTTCAACATGTAGTCTTAGACTGTTGAATATATATATATATATATATATATATATATATATATATATATATATATATATATATATATATAATGGCCTGAATACCATGTCGTTCAAGACAGGTGTTAGTCAAGTTACTGCAAGGCAACAATGTTCTCCAGGTCCAAACTGATATGCTAACTAAAGCGTAACTCGGAAGTCTGCTTACTTGGAGAGTTAGCGTTATTTTCTTTGACCAGGATGGTCAAGTGCCTAACTACGACGATAAATGTGGACTCAATTTTGTGATTGTTTAATAGGTCTCAAATGTCTTTGTTGACCGAGTCAGTCTTAGAGATCGCGTCACCTATCAGCGGTGATGTATTTCGGTAACATATGTCTTTGCATGAATAAAATCTGAACTGCATGCTTTTCATGTCAATAAATACAGGGCAGCTAAATGTGATGGGCAAACAAGAACGAATTGACGATATTATTATAATGACCTTCGGTTAACATGACATAAATTTGGCTTGTGGCCGAACGATATAAGGCGCCAAAGGCCACCAGTGTCGTCAACCTCGCAGTATCCACAGCCCGCGCGCAACCTGGGTTGTCGCGTGGCGGCAAGACGTCGGTTCGGCGTGGTGCTGACAGCTTTTAACACGATTCAAGTCAATCTGGAAACACATTTCAAATACGAGTGTGAATAATATAAGTACCAGTCAAAACAAAGATTAAGCGATGGGCTCATGAGACCTTTATAATGCGCCTCTTCAAAGTAGCAACATAAGCCATACAGCATGGACGACAAGTATGCAGACGCGTCGCCACCTTAGCTTAAGTTCCAGTTGAACTGTACCCAATGGATGTGATTCCAGGAAAGAAACTGTTATACGGCAAAAATGGATCTATTTATAACTATGTGACTGAGCTGAAAATATATGTATAGTAGGAGTGACATGTGTGTGCGTATTTCTTATTAAAATGTTTCGCGACCATTGATAAGTTGTGTCCAAGGTGGGTGTGCAGAAGTTCAAACGTGAACAATCCGGTAACACAGTGGCGTCACGTAGATGCCGGTTCGTATCCAAGTTTCGACAGCTCCGTCCTGTAAAAATGGAATCGTGATTCGAAATTAATATCGTGATAACGTCGCTAACCATTCAGGAATTCCAAACGACACAAATCAAGGTAGGGCCTCTTAGAGGTTATCCGGTTGGGTAAGTAAAGCAAATCCCTAATTTCGCTACTCTACAAAAGTAGGTAATTACCAAACTTGACTTATAACGTCACTTGAAGATGGTGTTTCCGCCAGACAAGTCGCATCTATGATGCCCAGAGAAGGAAAGTCGAGTTGGGGGCAGAACTCGAGGTGGAACGATTACCGACAAAAATCCTTTGGCACCAAACCGCTGACACAAATACCAAAATAAATGAGATGGATACATAAGATAACGAATACATCATAATAGAAGCAGTGCGTGCCCAATCTGAAACCCCAAGAAACGAACACATTTGTTGCCATACACTGTGTCGCAATATCATGAAAAAGTGTGATGGGTGTTTGTTCATGCGTACGGCACTTATCAGCTGCAATCATGAGTAGGGGATTTTTGATGTAATTAAGTGAGGTTCTTCGCAACCAGTTTCCAAATCAGATGGTTGTCCACACGCCCGGAAAAGCACTAGACTGCAGTTTCAACCTGTTGGGAATGGGCAGTAGTGCGCATCCATCGGATCCATCAGGATTCGAACCCATGACCACGAGCGGCTTGAACCGCCAGTCAGAAGCTTATGCCATTGGGCCAGGGGGGACAGCATCGGACCGTCATGATTTACAAGCTAACTGTGATATAGCGCGTCTTATCTTCCGATACCATGCAAGTTACGAAGATTGTAGAGGACAGGGTTGGCCCCGAAAGACATGACGTCCACTAACAGTAGCTATGTAGGACATAGCATTTAGAAACTGTCAGGGCAGGTATATTTCGATGTACTCATGTTGTTGAACATGAACCATTTCGGGGAAAACAGCCAGTTACCGAACAGGCTCTATCTATTAAGTCGGGTTAACTCCGGACATGGGGCGAGTGGATGGTACAGCACAGGCTTCGTGATCGCCATGGAAACAAAAGGTTCGGTGACAAGTGGCAATTGCCGTACAAGGAAATATAGAAAAAGAGCTCACCCGATGGTATATATATATATATATATATATATATATATATATATATATATATATATGTATATGTGGTTGGCGGCATCCGGTTTCGGATTTGCCGGTCACTGTGGTCAGCCACAGGACGCCTGCACCTACAGAGGGACCATGGATGGCTTGCGCTGCACCACCCACAGCTCCAACCACACACCCCATATCCAGTGTAAACCCGAAGGAATAAGACCGGGAGGCATGTGGATGGGAACCACGTTTCATCAACGGAGCCGGCCCACACTCCTTCACAGGCAAACACAAGCACGCTGTATTTGGGAATCAAGCGCACACAAGGCGGTGGCTGGACCGTAGTCCGCTCCACACTGAGTGCATGGAACCACTCTTCGAGCCTAGAACGGCCACAAGGACCGTGCACCCCGTCCCCTCCAGCAACGACCAACTGTCTCCTGGAGCCAGTATGGACGAGGTAGTTGGTAATAGACTGCTAGGCACCTTATCAACATGCACATCAAGCGCAGCCACACCGGGGATATCAAACAACAGCCAAACACTTGAGAGAGAGAGAGAGAGAAAGAAAAAGAAATAGAGAAAAACCCGATTAATGCATAAGGAAACGGTGATATAAACCTTAAGTAAATAGCATATGTAATAAGTTGTTTACAAACAGATCCTAGCTAAGTGCACGAGGTCAGGAAGTATAGTTCACGGAATGCCACAAACACAAAAATGTTATGGAAATCGAATACAATTGGCTGAGGCGATGTGTGCAAGTTAATGGGATAGAGTACAGGGAGATATTTATATGAGAAAGAAAAGCATTAAGGTAAAAACTGTAAACCCACCACCTGAAATAAAGAGACTTAGCATACAAGCACGCGGTTAGTAAATCGAATTCAGCGTGCCTACAAACGCTGCGCCAGGTCGCCGTAATTCTCTGCAGGACCCGTCGTCGCTTCTGTAGTGGCCCCAAATGGCACAGCTCATGGCCCACTAGACATTTATATGAGAAAAGCATTAGGAGAAAACCGAAAACCCACCACCTGAAATAAAGGGACTTAGCATGCAAGCACGCGGTTAGTAAATCGAATTCAGCGTGCCTACAAACGCTGCGCCGGTGCTGCCTACGTTCACTGCGGGACCCGTCGTCGCTTCGGCAGTGGTCTCGAGGGACCTCTCTCATGGCTCACTAGGCCTGCCTGACTAAGGCACTCGCGACCGCATGTTCTACAGCACCATGCGCTCGATGTCGATGGAGTACAATTCATCGGTGCTTGCCGCTTCCGCAACTGCCGCTTCTTCTCTGCAAGCATGAGGGCTTTCTCCCGCACCTCAGCAACTGCCTTCGTGATTAGATCGCGCCATGCACGCCGATCAACCGCCTTCGATTCCCATGATCTGCAATCAAGATTAGAACGCGAAAGACTCACTTTGATCATGTCCTGGTAACGTAACTTTGGTTTCCCCACGTGCCGCTTCCCAATACTCAGCTGACCGTATGAAAGTTGTTTCGGTATTCGCGTCGAATCCATACGGCTCACATGACCAAGCCATCTCAGGTGTCGCAGTAAAAGTATGCCGTCCACTGCATACATTCCACTTCGGCGCAAAACTTCCGTGTCTGCAACTCTGGCGCCCCAGCCGATCCGCAAAATTCGTCGCAGACACTGCTGATGGAACCGCTCGAGATATCGCACATCCCGACGGTACATCGTCCACGTTTCACTGCCGTATAGAAGAACGGACAGTACCATGGATTTGTACACCATCAGCTTTGTGCCAATGCTAAGCTCATGGTTGTTCCACACTCGGTACTCAAGCTTCCCGAATGCCGCTGCCGCTTTCGACACGCGATTACGCAACTCAACGTGTAGCTGCTGATCAGTCGACATCACACTCCCAAGGTAGCTGAAACGGAAGGTGGTTTCCAATACTTCAGCACCAATGCTGATTTGCGGCAATATTGAAGATTGCACCTCCGGTGAAGGCTGAAAGAGACAGACAGTTTTGCTTGTGTTGATGGTGAGCCCGAATTTGGTCGCTGTCGAAGCCAGAGCACTAGTCATGTGCTGCAACTCATCCGCGCTGTGTGAGAACAACGCACAGTCGTCAGCAAACAGCAACATACGGATAGTTGAATCACAGACTAGAGTTCTCGAACCGAAACGACATATATATATATATATATATATATATATATATATATATATATATATATATATATATATAGTGCCCCTTGCTGAGGCTGATGTTGCATTCATGATGCTTCTTCACCGCAGTTGGGCTAAACCAACTTCCACTTAAACTAGGTCTTTTTAATGTGGAGAAAATTCATTACATGTTATTTGGTTTGTTCTGCGTACTGGATAATCTTCTCCTTACTTGCACATGTCGCTCACGCAAATTGTGGGTAAACTTGCGTAATTTTATCGCGTGGTACTTTTTAACTAACTTTCGGACATTTTGTACTTATCACGGATTCACTTATGACCAATTTCTTCTATATGCTCATTTAGCGAGTATTTATGTCGTCATATGCGTTTACTTTAATCGATATCGGCATTTCGAATGATTGGCTGTTGTTTGACATCCCAGGTGTGGCTGCGCTTGATGTGCATGTTGATAAGGTGCCTAGCAGTCTATTACCAACTACCTCGTCCATACTGGCTCCAGGAGACAGTTGGTCGTTGCTGGAGGGGAAGGGGTGCACGGTCCTTGTGGTCGTGCTAGGCTCGAAGAGTGGTTCCATGCACTCAGTGTGGTGCGGACTATGGTCTAGCCACCGCCTTGTGTGTACTTGATTCCCAAATACAGCGTGCTTGTGTTTGTCTGTGAAGGAGTGTGGGCCGGTTCCGTTGATGAAACGTGGCTCCCATCCGCATGCCTCCCGGTCTTATTCCTTCGGGTTTACACTGGATTTGGGGTGTGTGGATTGAGCTGTGGGTGGTGCAGCGCAAGCCATCCATGGTCCCTCTGTAGGCGCAGGCGTCCTGTGGCTGACCACAGTGACAGGCAAATCCGAAACCGGGTGCCGCCAACCATATATATATATATATATATATATATATATATATATATATATATATCGCTGGCGGCATAGGTTCCGGATTTGCCTATCGCTGCGGTCGCCACAGGATACCTTGCGTTACACAAGCCACAGACACCCCATGTCCCGTGTAAATCCGAAGGAATAAGACCGGGAGGCATGTAGATGGGAGTCAGCATTCATCAACTGAAACACCCACACTCATTCCAGATGCACAGTAGAAGCATACATGCGTAACTGGGGAATCACGTGTACCAGAATTACACAAGGTGGTGGTTGGGCCGTAGCGCGCTCAACACTAGATGAATGGAACCCCTCATTGAGACTAGCACGGCCACGAAAACCGTGTACCCCGTCCCCTCCAGCAACGAATAACTGTCTCTTGGAGCCAGTACAGGCGAGGTAAAGGGTAATAGACGGATGTCAGTGAACAGCCAGCACTTGGAATGCAAGAATCGCAGCACGCAAGCACACGTACAGACCAGATGCAACGACGATGCGGCACACGTACCACATCAACCTACTCATTAACCTGAGTTAGTAAATTGAATCGGAAGCAGCAATTTTACCAAGCACCACGCTGATGATGACTACAGATTTGGCATATTCGCCTTCTCTAAAACCTTGGCCCGACGTGACGACGCTGGTGGCTTACCAAACCGGCTTGGCTCAGACACTCACGACCGCAGGTGCGACAGCACCATGCCCTCGAAGTTTAGGGGCTATCAACCATCGACGCTTGTCCTTTCTCAACCGACGTTTCTTTTCCACATGCAGTAGTGATTTCTCTTGCACATGGGCAACCGCCCTCTCTATGTGCTCTCGCCATCGGCGCCAATCACTGTCATTGACTCCCAAGATCTGAAATAAACATTAGTTCGTGATAAACTCA